GAGGGAACATTTAAGCCCTTGCGAAAATCAGTCACCCACTTGGAGCGATGGCATTGCAATTCCATCTGCGTCCTGTGGGAGGCGTCTGCAGCAGCCTCTGCTTCCCCAGGCTTCCCCCACAGAGCAGCTGCGCCAGGGCAGCTGGGCCAGGGCTGCAGCGCCACTTCCCGTGCCAGTTTGGCCTGAAGATCAGGTTCCGAGGTCTGGTTAGTCCTGTGCTCAGGGAGGACTCCCTGAGGGATGATCCTTCCGGTCTGTGCTGGGACCCTCTCTTGCTGTAGGGTTCATTAGTCATTCGTCAGGCCTTGGTGTCTCTGTCTGAGGCTGAAGTGTCCCCATCCATGTGGGGTTTTTTTGTATGTATTCTGTTTTAAAAAATATATGTGTATATAATGCTTTTGTTCACGCACATTTAAGTTTACAGAGTGGTTTTATAACTTTCATTTTAACTTTTTACATTTTTCCAATTATGTTATTCCTAGTAAAGCGACAAAGATAATGTATTCATTTTAATTACCTGTAGGAGCATCATTTTAATTGCCACATAAAATGCTCTCAGGGCGTATACTAGGGTAATTACATTGTTAATGCCCTGTACTTAGCATTAAATCAATGTTTTTCTAATAACACTCTAAATCACAAAGTATCTTAATCAAATAGTCTTGCTCACATATCATATAGGGGGCACCTTAATTACAGCTTTCGTTTGTGTAATCCTTAGAATCTTCAAGGTGCCTTCAGAAACATCCTTCGACAAGGGAAAAATTGAGCAAAGCTATTATTACAAATTTCATGGTTCTCTTAAAGAGGTGGAGGTTGCAGAGACTACACTGAGGGCCAATATCAGCCCAGGGAGGTCATCAAAAAAGCAGAATTATAATCAACAAACATGGAGCTCTACCTCAGCAGCGCACCTTCCTGCTGCATGACCGAGACAGCTTGAAACAGTATCAGAGCACTGAAACTGCTGAAGAACTGATGTTTCCATGCGTATTTTCAAACATCTTTGTGCACTAACTGAATAACTTACTTTAAAAATCACTAAGATTAACTTGTATACTTATAATTTAAAAGAAAGGCTTAAGGAAAAATTCATTAAGACAGAAATGTTTCAAAATGGCAAATCTGTAAGAGGCTTCTTTAACAAAACGGTTGATGAAATTTTCCATTTTTATACTGAATTTTTCCACTCTGAACGGAGTGTCTGGTGTTTAGTACACAGTAAGCCAGAGGCCTGATGGATCTGCTTTATGCAGGGGGCCAGCAGCAGATCATGTGGGCATTGTAGCGCTATGACTTGTGGCTGTTAGATTTCATCAATGCGAATGTAAAGAATAAGTCAAAGTGGGGATTTGGAAAATTTTCAGCAATGTTATTAATTACTAAATTATTTAGGAAACATATTTGTAGCACATTTATGGGCCCAAAGCCACAGATTTCAGTTACGGCTGTGTATACCTAGAGAACGTCATTTACCTGAAATGTACTTCTTGTCACTGGGTGTAACTCAGTTGTGATGTCCTCAGTGACAAAATTCACATCGGGTCTCCATCTTTCAACAAGACAAGGACACAGACACACACAGACACACACATGCACAGCAGAGGAATGCCATGAAGAGAAGAATAGTTTGTAATCCATTATGTGTTAACTAACCCTTACCCAGATCCTCAGGTAGGTCTATTGTTCAACTATAGAGAAAATGCCTGTGACTTCAGCCAAGGTCACAGGGTGTGAATTTGAAGGACTGCGGGTTTGATAAGCAGTTCTACTCTCCTCAGTCCTGAGTCTTCCACTTGTCTATGCATGAAGATTTCTGCCTTTGCAGAATCTTTGAAGGCTGTGGATTTCCACAGAGAACGCACAGTCCTATTGTTTTCTGATTTAATAAAACATGCCAGAAAGAGGTCTTTATGGCTAGCATTCTATTTGTGTTTTCTTATAAATTCACCTCTGTTACGGAACCTCTCAAGGCAAACTTTGAATTCAATGAATAAAAGATTACATGATATTTTAAAAGATATATTACTTTATTCTGAAATATAAGCACATTTCAGTAACAAGCCTTAAATGTTATGTCAGTGAAATACTAGTAGAGATCTTCCCTTTTTAATTGTCTCTAAAGAACAATAGTTTACATGATTGATATCCTGTAGTTATAATTCTAATAAAATATAAATGATTCCTCAAAATTCAAATAAGTTCATGTTCAGACCTTTGAGTATGTGTGTCTCTGTGTGTGTATGTGTGTATTTTTACACAATACATAATACACAAGGGTGATCAGACCCTTGACTTTGCACATGCTAGGCAAGCGCTCCCCAGTGGAACTACACACCCCACACCTTGAATATATTTTAATCATGTGTGGAAATGTTTGATTTTGTGTTCGTATCTGAGTTTTAAATAATATATCCCTCGTCTGTTCTGATCTGCTCTATTCGTATTATTAGCTTATGTTTATAGAAAAATTCTTTCAGCAGTAATCAATCTATTTTAATTCTACTAAGCAAAAATAAGTCATTTTTACTATATGATGCTATAATCACACCTGTCAGAAGTATATTTTCTAGAATTATGTTTTAAAATAAATGAGAGAAAACTAACACCTGCTATAAACAAAGAAAAATGACTGCTTTTGTGGACGTTATTGGAAACATTTTACTGTGGTGTTACAAATTTGACTGATTACTTAACTACTTAATTATTTCGAGACAGGTTCTCGCTATGCAGTTCAGGCTGGCTTTGAGCTCTCTTTGTAGCCTAGACTGGTCTTGAACTTGCAGTAAGTGCTGGGATTACAGGTGTGCACCACCACACCTGGCTGGTAAATCTGTGTAAATTCTTTGAGTGAATTTTAATGTTCCAGTCAGAGTACCTGTGAGAATTGATGCTCCTACCTGAGTTGTTTAGCAGATTATCTTAGATATTAAAATGAAGTTGGAACCTAAGTAGTGGAACCTAAGTAGTCTCATGGATGAGCCTGGTCTACCGAGGTCACCAGCAACGACCACACATCGCCAGCCTCCCCCAACCCTAGCAGCCCCTTCTCGTGGAGCGTGAAGTGGTCCCTGCAGGCAGGTGGCTCCTCCTCTCACTGAGTTAGAGTCGGGCTTCGCCGACTGGACCTCACAGAGGGGAGACTTGCAGTTTAGAGCAGAGGAGCAGCCTAGGTCAGGACCACAGAGCACACTCCATTCTGCCAAGGGTGCCCCACAGAAAGGCAGCGCGAGTGGGTGTTCCTAACGTCCCCTTGAAGATGTGCAGGGGCTGTGCCTGTGTCATCTGGAAACTGATACAAAATTTATTAACTTAAAAAAATGATGTTGGTGAAGGTGAAGATTGTACTTTAGTTGAACGAGGTTAAAATGATTATCTCAGAATTGCCATTAAACGATGTTAAAAGGATCATTACCACATGTGACATATATAGTAGAACTGTCATGGGTCGCATTCACTATGACACCGGCTATTTTAAAATTTTCATTTATTTCTACCAAAAGGTGGTCTGGGATAGGCAGACCCATTTTTTATTCAGTTTGTGGTTTGGCCTGGCAAGTTCTTTAACTAAGATAAATAATGAGGCAGATAGCATTCTGGATTCCTGGTTGAACTCACTGGCTCTCACCTTGTATCATCTTTATGCTCACTTTATGTCCCGGCAGGTTAGACAAATCCATTCTAGTGCAAGAAAGTATCAGAAAGTAGTTTTTAAACCATAATTTCCCTGTTACTAAATAAAAGAGTCTATGTCTCTGAATTCCTAACCGAGATTTTATTTTGTACATGAAGCTTTAAAGACTCAGACATAAATTGATATTCATGAGGAAGCCAGTGCTTCACTAACCTCTCACCCACCCCACTTGTGCACTGACGTTTTCATATAAAATCCACTCACTATATTTGAAAACATGAGGAGAGATAGGCTTGGCAAGTTACACAGCAGAAAAGCCCTGTATGGCTAGACCATGAGTGATTAGTAATAACTTTTCTAAGTTTTCACATCCCTGCGAATGGTCATGAACATAGATTTTACCTTGTTTATTGACCATTGTTAAGAGACTTGAAAGAAATTTATATGCATGTGAACATTGTTTCTTTATTTGTGCAAAAGTTTTTAAGAAGTTTTGATTTTTGAATCGACTGTCTTAAGTACACATGAGAATAGGGTACCGTGTGATATTTTCACACATACACAGAGCACGTGTGAGGAGATCTCACCTCCCTCACCCTGAAATGAGACAGCAGGCTCTTTAAATAGCCTTTTTTGCTCTCATCTGGTTTTTCCAGATGCTCGGACAGTGAGACTGGGTGAAAGCACACCCTTTGAGCTGGAAGGGTAACAGATTGCTTTTCTCCCCCATTCGCCATTCGCCAGCACACTGGCCACAAGAATCTGTGAAACTGAGGTATAGCAGGAAAGCAGTCTTGCACTGAGGCTGTGTTTCTGTGAAGTGGGTTGATAGATAACACAGAAAGAATGCCAAAATGCAGTAAAGACTCTGGTGCAGAATCCTGTTCGCCCTATGTGACCGCCGGTCGCCCTACCTCGGACCACTCTCCTGGCCCAGACCTTGACTTCTCTCCCGGAATTTTAGGGGGTGGGGCTGGGTGGATGTCTAGGTCCTTTCTAGCTTTCTAATTTCAGACTCTGGGATTTTATTGCAGTCCCTTGAACATTAATGGCACTGGGTGATGGGGTTTCTTTACTGCTTGCAGATTAAGGGAGCAGTTTGTGAGATGAACATTTTAGAAAAGCAAATTTCACAAAGACCACCATGTCTAAACATGCTAATGGCACTGATGAGATTTCAATTACCCTGTATATAAAGAAAATATAGAAGAAATTTTCTTTCTGATCCAGGAGTTGAGGCGAGATGGTAACCTCAATGTGGATGACTAGCAGAGCACTTTGTCACTGTGAACACACGCTGTCATCGTGGGGGTGACGGGGTGGTAACATTCTACAGCTACATCCATGCCTTTGCTGTTTCTCCCAGGGATTTCCAGGGAACACGAATGCCGACAGCGTGGTGCACTACAGGCTCCAGCCGCCCTTCGAAGCCAGGTTCCTGCGCTTCCTCCCCTCGGCCTGGAGCCCTAAGGGCAGGATTGGGATGCGGGTCGAAGTGTACGGATGTGCGTATCGTAAGTGCCTTATATTCCTCTTGGGAAATCAGCATCCTCCTGAGGCGCTGTTAAAGCCAAACTGCAAATGAAGTTGGCTTTTTCTGGCTTGTTAAACAGCAGTGTAGGTAGAACTGATGTTTATGGGAAGCCTTCTGAGTCGGTCTCTCCAAGACAATGCCAACTCTAGTCGTAGTCTTTTGAGGTGAATCTGAACTGAGATTTGATTTTGGATTTTCTGAGTTTGACTTGTGACATCATCGGCGTTCAGCAATGCACTACTGGTACCGACTAGTGTCAGTGATGCTGGTTTTCTGAAGCTGAGGTGCTGCCCAGTATTGGAATGCAGGAGTGGTATGGGGCCAGCTTCTCACATCTGGCCCTTGCTCTGTGATGCTGCAGTTCTAACTCTCCTGTTCTCTATTAGCATCACAAGGAAGCCTTTTATACAGCACGCTGAAGCTTCACTCAGTCTGCACTTGGTGGGAGCCTTTGTGTATGTATTAAACCAGCCTCTTTTCTCTTCTGTTAACCCTGCTAAAGTAAGAAGACTGCTAGAAGTGTAACAAACACGACACACAGCATGGAAGTTGCACGGCAGAGCTCTCTACTAAGCTCATGATGTTCTCCCACTATTTGTGTACATCATCATCGTGTCTGAAATCACCATCAAATGGAACAGAACTAAAAATGTCTTGCATAAAACTGGAGAATAATCCAAATGGCAGACGAGATGGAAATGCCTCAGCTTCTTAGGCTTGGGTTAGCTTGCACTTTTGATCACACCCATTTACACCCCCCTCTTCTTTGCTAAACCATAGTGTTAGCCTTAAACAATATTAATTTTCTAAAACATCGGAATAATCTACCTTCCATGAAACAGTCAGTGTCTCTGATGTTATCATTTATAGTTTATTACTTAACCCCTATGGAACCCAATTCATTTCCTAACTCTGCTTCTGTTTTCTAATGTTAGCATTTCTGTAGGGCATTAGAGAGAGTCATTGCTGTCTTTTACCATGTTTCACCATGGACATGTTTTCTTCCTACCGTTGGTCATTTCCTTCCATCACTCTCGTTCTGTATCTATACCCATGCTCATGGTTGCAATGGCTCTGATGTCTGATAGGCTTTCTCTGATACTATGGTATGAGCTTGTCCTCCCATTACTCTGCAACTTCAAGTTTACTAACTTCAAAGTGGAATATTCTCTTTGATGAGGATTTTGCCATTAGCGTGATGCTCCCTCAGGAGGAGGTATCACTCCAAAACCTTGGGCTTCAGGTCAATGTTAGAAACATCAAAGCTCTGAGGACCAGTGGGATGTGCAGCTGCTGACGAACCTCCTGGCCCCTCTGGCTTTTGAAAACACACATTGTGGAGGGCGAGTGACTCTTGGCAAAACAAGTGCGGGCAGATAATGTTTCACCACTACTAACTAATATATCACCATTAGTAATTCAAGCCATTCTTTAGAAAGAGCTCAAGATTGTTCTCTCAGAAGAATTGCTTACTATTTGAGTGCATTAGTTGTGTCTATACTATAAGCAGTAATATGGTTTACATTAAGAAGGGAGATAGTTTTTAGTAGTTGCATTCCACTCCCCTATTTTTATTCAGGCACTGTGCTCATCGTGGGCTACGATGTGGCTCTGAGAAGTGCCTTTTTTCAGTTGTATTTTACCTACTTTCTTACATTTTTTGGTAACATATTTTTTAGCTCTACAAACCTGATGGATTTTCATGGTTTTCTTGCCTAGCACGTGGGCTTTCTCTTTCCATTTTTAGACCAGTCACCTGGACAGCAAAGGCTAGGGCAGAGATGGCCAGGTGCCCCTTTTGATACGCTGCATTCTATCCCTTGCAGGGTTTGCTGCCCTTAATGAGTGAACACCAACCTCATGCTTATGGTGGGCCTTTGGCCTCTTTCAGGCTCTTAGTAGGAGTCCTGTCCTCTTTCACGAGTTTTCAACAGCCCTCACACAGAGGCCCCTGACTTCTGAATCTGTATTCTCAAGCGGAGCTTCAACCCTGCCTCCCCCTTGGTGGGGCCTCTCTCCTGGTCCTGTGGGGATCTAAAAGTCAGCTGTATAAAACGGAATTGTCAGCCTCTCTTCCCTTCTGAAAACATGACGCATTTTCTATTGTCTTCTATCTCACAGAATGACACGTATGGCAACCTACAATCTCAAGTCTGATCCTCCTTTCTTTATACATGTTAATCTGTCCCTCACTCTCCCCAAGTGCAATAGTCTGAGGTGCCCCTCAGCCTGTACCAAATGGAACCCATCTAAATGAGCCAATTGTCCCCTGTCTCCACCTCTCTAGTCTTCACACCAAAGTCAGAGTGATTGCTGGAAAGATGCAAATTTTATTTTTCAGCATGCTGGCAGGGATACCTAAGATGCTGTAAATGCTACCCAGGGGCCTCAGACTGAATGCAGAATTCTCATGTTCTAATAGTTGCCTATGCCTTCTGCTTCCTCTGTCAGGAACAAGAAAGGAAACAAAACACATGTTCTTAAGTCAGCAATCGCCGGTCCTCAAGTTACCTGTCCTTGAGAGAGGCCACTCTGGCTCTCCAAGCCACCCACTGAATGACCAAATTATGCATTCTGCACTTCACAGTGCCTCCTCGCCTAATTTCCCTTCTCTCTAACTTCTCCCCTTCCCAACCTGGTGTCACCAAGATTACTAATACTGCTTTTCTGAAAACAGGAAATTGAGCCCAGGGTCTTCACATGCAGCAATATCCCCAGCCCTTTTTAATTTTTGTTTGGAGACAGGATCTTGCTGAGACACTAAACTTCCCAAACTGGGATTGATTTTGAGATCCTGCTGCTTTTGGGTCCCAGAACGCTGAGACTGCAGGCATGTACCACCACACCCAGTTTGGAAGTGCTTCTTATTTTAGTTCATTCTGTGTCTACTCATAAGCAATTATTCTACACATTGTATCTTCAGTTACCTTTTAAAACTGCAGGTCTGGCTGTACTACTTATGGATTATATAGTAAATGTACGTATAATTTAAAAACTATCAAACTTATTCTAAAGCAGTATACCCACTTTTACGTTAATTTCTTTATGTGTCTGTTTTCAATCTTCCACTGATTTTGATGTTCTCTTGTATTATTGATGAAACACACCTGCTATTTGATGGCCTGAATGTCTGACCTTTATGGTCATATCATAAGCCCCTGTCAGAGGGCTGAGAGAAGGTGGCGAAATTGTGGCTCTGACAAGCTGCAGCAGGAAGAGTGAAAACTGTGCTGTTAAAATTATGCTCTCTCAGCAAAGGTCCAAACAAGAAAAACGTGTGTCTTTATGAGTTAGGGCTCTAGGAACAGAGCCAGAAGGATATTTGGTATGTGTTGGTGCAGGAGTAGTATTTTAAAGAAGTCTCTGTGATTGTAGGGCCTGGAAAATCTGAAATCTGTGGGACAAGTCAGCAGATTCCCTGGAAACGCAGGGAAGAGTCGAGTTGCAGCTTGAGTTCAAAGACAGTCTGGAGGCAGAATTCCTTCTTCCCTTAAAGGCTCCAGCTTTTTGTCCTTCTAAGGCCTCTGTCAGTTGATTGGATGAGGGCCACCGGCATGGCGGAGGGTGATTGGCTGTGTGCAGCATCTACTGATGAAGCACCTGCTTGGCAACATCTAGATCAGTGCTTGACCACCAGCTGGACATGGTGGCCTAACCACTGAAATGTCATCATGTCATTTAGCATCTGCAAGTAACATTGCATGTCAGTTTGTTGAAAATATAGGCTCTTTACTCATGTCTGAAGGAATATTTAATAGCAATGGTGCATATGTGGTGTGTTTATACATGTGTATCTTTTACAGACAGACAAAATCTTTACAAGAGTGTTTATATTTGAAAGAATCAAGAAGAGTCAGAATTTACAAATGGGATTATATCAAATTAAAAAGCATCTGCACAGCAAAAGAAACAACCAATAAAGTGAAGAGATAGCCAGCAGAATGGGAAAAGATTTTGCTAGCTACAGTTTGGAAAGAAGACTAATATCCAGAATACATAAATGATTCAAAAATCGGGAACCCCAAAATAAAAACTCAATTATAAAACAGGTGACTGAGATGAATAACACTTCTCAGTAAAAGATGTACAAATGGGCAATAATTACATGAAAAACTATTCAACATTTCTGCCAGTAGCAAAATGCAAATTCAAATAACACTGAGGCTCTATCTTACCCAAGAAAAAATGGTTGTCTTTAAGAAGTTAAATAATAGCAAATTCTGGTGAGGCTGTGGAACTGCAAAAGAAACCCTTTTGCATTGCTGGTGGGAATGTAAATTAGTCCAGCCACTATGGGACTCAGTGGTCCACTATAGAGATTTCTTTAAAAACAACACAAAAAACAAAAAGAAAAATAAATTTTGCTCTACTCAGCTATTTCTCTTCTAGGTATCTTCCCAAAAGAGTTAATGATATCGTATTCCAGTGATCCATGCACAACCCTGTTATAGCTGCACAACTCAATAGCTGTATCTTGGAGACAGCCTATATGCCCATTGGCAGATGAATGGATGAAGAAGATGTGGTATTTATATGCAATAGAGTTATTACTTAACATAAGAAATACCTTAAAATGCAGAAATAATTAATAGAAATACAATCTTTGCCAGCTATTTAAAAAGTCAAGCAGAAAGAGAAGAAACAGACCACTATAAAGACGAAAGCCACTGGGAGTAGATTATTTAGTGTATCAACTTATGTTACTGATAGGAAAGATATTGTCCATTTTTCCCTCAGTGAACAGACTAGAAGTTTGTATGTGACTCTGAGTGTGTTGTGGTAGATAAGCTGTATGTTTTCAAAGTGCTATTGTATATTTAGTATTGATTTCAATATCCTTTTTTCTAGGATCTGAGGTGGTTTATTTTGATGGACAAAGTGTTTTGCTGCACAGATTTGATAAGGAATCCGTATCACCAATAAGAGATACTATAGCTCTGAAATTTAAAACCAGGCAGAGCAATGGAATTATACTCTACAGAGCGGGACCACATGGAAATAACTTTACATTAGAATTAATTAAAGGAAAACTTGTTTTTGTTCTTAATCCAGGTAAAAAGCATTTTTACTTTCATGCCAGTAGTTTAAAAAATCTGTTCGGATGAAAATACATATGTTGGTGCTTAATATTTTCAGTTAGGTAAAGGGACTGTGATTTACCACTCAAACTGGGACACCTTTGGAAGGTAAAAGAATACAAATAGTAACTCTGGCGATGGGTACAGAGCAGAATAGCCCAGAAAAATGTAGATGAAAGGGTGAGAGTCTTGGTAACAAACATGCAGCATGTGTTCACTCTTGTCTGGTGTATGCAAACAGCGTGTAGTTTGTCAAGGTTATTATGGATGCAGTATATATGATATATTATTGTGTGTCATCGTGCATATAAAGCTACTTCATTGTGAAATTATGAGAGGCTACTGATACTGATGTTCTAGCAAAAAAATACTTGCAATGTGAATGTCATGAATAATAATAAAATAAATCATTAAAATGATTTCAAAAGCTGTAGAAACAAATAAAAAGAAATACAATGTAAGATGTAAAGATGTGTGCAAGATGCAAAAATCAGGGGGCCGCCATAGGGATAGAAACATGGTCACAGAGTGTAGTGCTAATTTGACAAAGGGAAACAACGAATTTTAACAAAGCTAACTGTTTTTTTCTCTCTCTCTTGAGGCAATGCTCCTGTGCCCCCTACTGATGCTCCCATGAACCTCACCCTGGGCAGCCTGCTGGATGACCAGCACTGGCATTCTCTCCTCCTCGATATCCTTGGCGTACACGTCACTCTCACTTTGGACAAACACACTTATCATTTTCATGCAAAAGAATCCAGTTACATGGACCTTAATTTTGAGGTTAATATAGAGTGTATATTTTGAATGAAAAGCACTGCTTGAAAATTACTAATGCTATGAAACACCATTTCATGGTATGCCTAATACAGAATACTGAGTAATACATAATAATATGTATGTCCAGCTACCTCCAAACCATGCATTCCTTATAATAGGACAATTTATTGTTACAGGGCATCTTTTCCACATGAGAGGAAGTAAGCAGTGGTGCTACTAGTTTTAGAAAATTTTCTACAAATGCAGAGATGTCAAGGCAGAAAACATTATTAAATATATTGCATTTCCAATTCATCTAGTATTCCACATTTGTTGTTTGGTGATAAACAGATAGCTTGAGGATTTTGTTTTCTTGTTTCAGTGTAATCCTAATCATTGTAGGACTAGTTAATTTCATGCATTCCGGTAGGTTTATTAAACAACAGTTAAATCAAGTGCATCCATATAAATAATTTCTTAGCCTTTTAAAGAATTTGACATTGTTTTTCAGTGAGTTGTCAGTGGTCTTCTGAGCCACACTATTGAAGAACATCTATTCTGCCATTTCTTCCCAGGATACTTTTATGTGTATGAACAATAGGAGAAAACCAGGAAGGCTATGCTATGTGTCTGGTATAAATAATTTTAGTACCATGACATCTGCAGAAGACCCTGGTCCTATACTAGTTACCCATAATTTTATTGCCTCAATTATAACTGTAATAGCAGAAGATTTTACATACTGTAGTGCTTGGCACCTCACAGGCCTCAGGCCAAAATCAGTCTTTTGTTATTGTGTCTAAAGGCAACCTATTTTTTATTCTTTAGAAAACATTTTACTGGAACTCTTCCCCATTTAAAAAATATATTTTCTATGGCTGCTTTGGGTCCTACAGTTTCAGAGTTGTGTCACATAAGAGGGACCACAAGACTCACAAGCCAGAAATTTTGACCATGTGGCTATTTATTGACAAAGTTTGCTGACTCTTAAGTTTATATGCAAAAGATGGCACCCAAAATAAAGTTATCAAAAATGTCATAGTGATAGACACATCAGTCAAAACCAAATATTGAAGTGTAAGATAATGCAAAAGGATTTGTGACAAATATCTGGTTCTGTACCTGTTTGTCCTGAATGTTCTCACAATATGATCAGAAAATCACTGAACCATGTTATTCATGTCATTTTTCCTTTCCAGATCAGCTATGGAGGGATTCCAACTCCTCAAGGAGCACTGAGATTCTCAAGTAAAAACTTCCATGGATGTTTAGAAAATCTTTACTATAATGGAGTGGATATTATTGAATTGGCAAAAAAACACAATGCAGAAATCCTCACTATGGTAAGAAAACTTAAACGGAAGGAAGTAAAAAGTGGTGATTTTTTCATTTTTTGCATATAAAAATATTCTTAAGTATCCAATTAATACAGTGTTTAAAAATCAACTTTTACATTTTAAGTATTACCACTTAATATAATGATTTTATTACAAGTAAATATGCATTCCTTGTGTGTTATGATTATTTCATTTTAGTATGAAATAAAATAACATATTTGTATGGAAATTTGAAAACATATCTCATGTTTTGAGTGTTATGATTCTCAGGGAACAATTATTTTGCATTGAAAATTTCTAATGAAGTACTTACTGATTAATTGGAAATGCTTCCAGGTCAGTCAATAAATTTTTTATATTTAAAATTAAAAATACCCAAATTAGAGGTAAGTTCATGTTTATTGTCAGCAGGTCTTGGAAGCACATGATGGGAATATTTATTTGTGTGGCTTCAGAAATATTTTCTCTGTTGCAATGTGCTGCAGGGAGTTGGCTTTGGGACCGTAGGACCAAAACCTGAACATGTCTTTGGTTCTGGGCCAGCAGGCAAGAATCTACTGCATCTCTTGGTCACATGAAAAGGTGAAAAAGGGAGAATAATCATGAGGTCCAAGAATTTTGGTGGTGGGGAGGATGCATCTGAGGCCTACTATGAACACTACCATGCTAAGATAACACAAATAAAAAAATGCCCAGAGAAACACCAAAAGAAAGAGAGATCAGAAGGCTCCAAAGAGAGCAGGTACTTTTCGCAAGATTAAAAGTAAGTGAGAAGAAAAGAGGTAAATGCAACAGGCTTCTACCTAAAGTTCCTGCTCATGAGGAAATGGAAATATTTAAGTATTTTTTGAACATGAAGGGGAAAGAAGATGCTTGGTTTTAGAAGTCAGCTTCCTGGAGGTGCGTTTTGCAGAAACCATCCAAATACAAAGATTAGTTTGGCCATCGGGCACCTGTGTCAAGATTGTAATGTAACATCTTCTGAGCTTTTATTTGCCAGCCCTTGATGTTAAGAAGAAGCTCTCATGCCACGCTAACCTCTCTGGTGTTGTTGCCCGAAGTTCTGTCACTGAAGCAAAGTGACTCAGACCTTACCATACAAGGAGCTGGAACTATCTGAGGAAAGGGACACTAGTTCCATACAGCATTTCATATAATTCTGAATTGTCAATGGACTTATCATTGGAATTATTAATTGATTATAGCCAATTAAGAGAATCACAATTGTCTTGATGTCTCTGGAGTCCTGAATGAATATCATCCTGAAGAAAATGGTCTATTAATTACGTTGTATAAAATGTCTTAGCTTTAAACAAAAACTGACCAAAGAGAATTCCTTCCAAACTTTATATACACAGACATGTTAGCTGTAGGAATTGGATTCTGAGAGATGTTTCAGTTTTGTGTATTTTTCATAAAAATATAAAAACAATTGCTTCAAAATTTAAAAGGAAAATATTTTATCATTTAACATAATCAGTTGCTGGAATCAGCTTATTTGGCAACAGCCACTGCTCTGTGGCAAAAAGCTTTGCATCTTTGTTGGCGCTGGCAGATGCCATCGAAAAGATGAAGTCAAGTGACCCAGAGTGCCCTGAGCTCAGTGTATGAGACCCTGCTGCATCATGTGGTAAAACCAAAGAGGGGGCCGTGGACATCGTGCAATTTATTGGGAGATTACTCTCAGAACCATGATCTGGAGGTGGCAGCAAGATCAAGTGGACCTGTGGAGTTTGGATCAGAAGTAGCATTGTATACGTTGGTCAGGACAAGCAACTTCATCCAATCAAGAGTGCACTGAGTTTATTTTAAACTAATAGAAAAGAATCAGGAACCTAAACTGGTACCCAGTTTGGATAATAAGCTCCACTTACCACTCCAATGATTGTTTCTATTTATAGTTTTCTTTGCAACTATACAGGAAAGGCCAACTAGGGTTACTCTGGGGTAACCACTGAGATTATGAGCCAACATGGATGCAGTTGTGTCAAGTTGAATCTAATCAGGAAATCTGCAGCTAATAAAAAAAATCATGCAATAATCCACTGATTAAATTTAGACCATGGATTAGTGTCCTTACTTTTAAATTTTTTGTATTTAATTAATTATAGCAAATTTTTCTGACAAGTTATTTAACGTTCAGCAGAATTTTTTAAAAAGCCAAGAATGAATGTTCTGATTTTTATATATAGTAATACAGTGATGCATGGTACATATTTTTTTTAAAAATGAAAACTGAACCGTGTTAGTTCCTGAAGTATATTAGGACAGCATTTTTTAAAAATATAAATCTGTCTTTAGTTACTTTAATCCCCACATTAGTGATTCTTAAAGTTGGCTTTCTGTTGGAAATACCAAGGAGATTTAAAATATGCTGCTACTTGGATCCACTCCCAGAGATGGGATTTACTTGATCTCCTGGTGGATTTTATTTTTTTGTAATTTGTTTTTATTCTGAGTCTTATGCTTACTGAAGCAAGCACACACTCTACCACTGAGACATATTTCCAACCCTGATTGGGTTTTTTAACCTTCTGGTGAATCAGTCATTCAACAAAGAGAACTACTGCCCTCGATTACCCATTTTGCTTGACAGTGTTTTCTTTTCTCTAAAATTATATGGTTTATTAACAAAAATAGTTCAGAGAAAATTTCAATTAGAATTGGAATTGCTGGAGATTTTTTCCCTGGAGCCAATATTCATATGTATAAATAAATACCCCAAAATTGTTCCTTCCACCACCCAAGATAAGAAAAATACATTGGAAAAAACAGTAAGATGGGACTTGCTTTGCCAGATACTAAAACATCCTGTGTTGAGGATTGGCATGGTGGTGGACGGAACTCAGTCAAACCAAGTGGGGACCCCAGGAAGATCTGTCTATACACAAAATATCAGGGACAAGGTGTATGGTTTGGTTTGGGAGAAAAGAGATGAATTAGCTCATAAACTCTGCTGGAACAAAGTATTGTCTGTAAGGTAATAAATAAGCCTGGATAATAACTTTATGTACACTAAGAACTAGATTTGAGGAGGATGAGAGAAAAATGATAACGATTCTCAGAAGAAAGTCTGGGCAATTATGTTATAATCTAATGGTGTATGAAACTTTCCATTAAAAAAATTTAAAACTCAGCAGCTATGTAAGAAAAATACAGACATGATTGACTTTATAAAAAATTAATAATGTTTTCATGCTAAAAGTATCATTAAAAACTTCATATGTAACTATTAGATATGATAAGACATTTTTGGAACACCGTAAAAATATAATTTTCCAGAGGCTAGATAACATGACCTATATAAATACTAAATAATCCTGTGTCAGATGTCTGACTGATTAGTTAATTAGTGAGGGAATCAGCAAAATAATGAAGCTGGCACAACGAAGAGGTGAAGGAATGCTGGACAGTTAGGAGAGAAGTCGGAAGGGACGGAAATGTGCGGGTCATTACTGTATCCCTCGCTCTAGCAGAGGGCCCGGCAAATATCTGACACAGAGTGAGCGCTTGTTAGACTACATTATATTACGATTTCTGTGCTAATTCTGAGATAGAGGAAAGTGGAGAATTTCACAAGAAAGCACCTGAAGTAACTTTGCCCAGTCATGAACATGTTTTTGTTGCAAGATAAATTTCATTGACTTTAAAGTGTAGACTATACGTTCCTGGATTGAAAAATGTAAATCTTGGCAAAATCAGGCTTTAATTGAACAGAATCGCTACTCTGACGCTTTTTGATATGCTCCTTTTTTTTGCTTTTAATTTACAGGGAAATGTGTCCTTCTCATGTCCACAACCAGAGATTGTCCCCGTGACTTTCCTGAGCGCCAGGAGTCATCTGGATCTGCCAGGCAGCCCTGGGGAGGACAGAATATCTGTCAGTTTTCAGTTTCAGACGTGGAATAAGGCAGGCCAGCTGCTTTCCAGTGAATTTTGGCATGGCTCTGGAAGTTTTGTCCTCTTTCTTAAGGATGGAAAACTTAAACTGAGTCTCTTCCAGCCAGGACAGTCCTCAAGGACCATCACAGCAGGTAACGTGTGTGTTCCTGCGACCTTACCAACAACTGGAAAGAGACCTAGCGCTGAAGGTCAGCAAGCACAGTAATGAGCTACCCGATGCCTGATTTGGCACCTGGAACTGAATTTCAATTTCCTTTTAGGTGACTCCAGGCTGTTTATTTGGGACACATTACCCATCACTACAGTGATCTTTAACCTACAATGGTCATGTAGAAGAAATGAGAAAGGCACATTTCTGCAGATAAAAATTCTCAGTATACACAAATGTAGGTAACATGCTCAAGCTCCGTTTCCTGACAAATGTCTACTTTACCTCCATCCCAAAGAAACTGAGAGGGAGCCTCATGAAACACACAAACGCAGAGACATCTACCTGTCTTCTCTATTTTTCTCATCCTCTCCATTCTCCATCCATTCTCTCTTCTCTCTTGTTCTCTGGAGAAATATTCTACACCAGGAAGGCAGTTGATGTCAGTATATACTCAGAGTTGTTCTTTTGTTGATGGCTGATTCATTTTTTATGATAGCCTGGAACTGGAGAAGAATCTTAGCTCCTGCACTTACTGCTCTTCTGAAGAAAAATCCCTGAATGCCCTAAGCCTCAGCTGGTTCTGCTTGTGAAATGGTAAACCTCAGGTGTTTACTCAGAGCAACAGGAAGAAAATCTGATTTATTAGCATGGCACACCCCTCAACAAACCCTCCCTTGTCCCCATCTTCTATCAAGGGCCAGTGATTGCTGAGAACATGCTTGACTTGATAGATTAGGTGTTCAGTCCTCCTAAGACAAATCTACCCAAAGATGCAGACTGATGTTCTGAGTGTTATGGAAAAATGTAATTACAGAGCTGATTGAATTTTCTTAATTGGATTTGCAAATATAAGACAAGATCTGAGTTCTAAATCAGCATCTTGCCTAAATAAGCATCTGAACCAGATGGGAGGGAAAGTTTAAGAAAAAAGAAAGGGCAGAAGAAGAGACAGATGTCTTTCTTGATACTAGGTAGCTATCATACCTAAAAAGATAATGTTTTTGGCCAGAGACGTACTTGACTAGACTGTTATTGAATATTGCTTTTGAAAGTAGGATGTTTAGATATATGAAGAAAGAATTTATTTAGATTGTGGGACCTTATTTTAATATTTCTGGAATAATCCAGCAAGCCCAGATGTTAAAATCTGTATCTCTTCACCTCGGAACCCAGGTAAAGATGGAAGATAAAAAAGAGATATTTAGAAGGATATATATTTTATTCTTTATCTTTTAAAAATGAAAACTTATTTTTGGTTTCTTCATGAATATTATTTTTCCCCAGGTAATTATAAAATTGTGAGTCATGCAATATACAGAGTGAACATTTGTCAAAGATTTCATTTAACTCATTAATTAATAAACCAGTATTAAGGGAATAAAGAGGAAAATCAATTTCCAACTTAGTGAATCATCTTCACAAGGTGGAAAAGAATGAAATAATGTTTTTATTAAAAAAGCATTAAGCCAGACTGTGCTCATAAAGAATGCAAGGCAGAGACCACTCCACAGGCTGTTGTGAAACCAACAAGGCTTATAGTTTAATACCTGGGTGCAGGCAGACCAAGGGAGAAAAGGGCATCTGTAGGGACAAAGAGAAGTGGCCCCTTTTTATAGAGACTGAAGGCAGGCAGGGGACCTTAGGTGGGCAGATGTTAATAAGCATCTGTGGTCAGAGTTCTCTGGCTGTCTCGCACCTCCGTGGACAGAGTCCTTGAGGCATCTGGTGTAAATTTTTGGGTATCTCCAGATGTTGGGGGTACTGCAAGATTTCTTGTCCTACATGTCTTACAATATCCTATGTTTGCCAAAGACAGCCTCGTGCTGAGTTGTGTCCCCACTGAAAATGATGCCTCTGTTGGCAAACAGATTGGGTGCTGGGAGAATCTTGTCTGATTTGAGTCTTACAGTGCTGAGCACATCAGGTGTTTGCTAATGAGGCCACAAAGACAGAGAGAAAGCTCGTCTTTTATGTAGCCATACAGAATTGATTACATGCATGCCCTCAAGATGAAAGTTAATTTGTCTACTAGTAAGAAGGCATCTAGAAGAGGGTATTCTGCCCTAAATTTACTTGGTAATTGGGGAGGCTATTTGTAGTAACTGTCTCTAAAAAATACTAAACTGAACTGAACTGAACTAAAATCCCCCCGTGTCTTGATTACAAGTTGGAGCCAGCACCGGAGTTGAACATCCACAGAGACAGGCACACTCTTCAAAGGAAACGTCCCTGGGTTGTAGAACAAGAAAGAGGTTAAATAAACTTCTTACAAAGATTTTACAAAGTTATTTTAAAATTAGATGTTTTGAAAAGATTTATATGCATCTAAAGAGGCAGAGAAAAAATTTACAATTGCAAGTTTTCTAAAGGAAATTTTTCAAGAAAAGAAAAGCAAGGATGAGAGAAAGTCTATCACTAAGGATAGTGTTTTGTTTTCATATTTGCTTTTTAAATTTATATAAAGCCAGGTTAAAAAATAAGTCCAGCCAGTTAAGGAAAGAACTCTAAGAACTATGCATATATAATCAAAGAAGATACTGAAATGAAATGAAAATAAATTCAAACCTAGCAAAACTTGTCAGTATCCACATGCAGAAGGAAATCAATAGTTCTTTTCCTGTTCAGAGAGCATAAATCTATAGAGAAACATAATTTACATCACTTTTTTCTGCAAGTTAATTTCTATCTATACACAATTGTAAAATAACCTAGTCAAAGATAAGGTTTATAGGCTTACGAAGTCAGATTTGTGCATCCATTGGAAAGATACTTGGTAATCTCTTTTGTTGGTTTCAAAGACTGTCCACTTTTTTCCTGCAGTAATTAAACTGTATTGCTAATGTTTTGCAGATATTCCAGATGCAATGAACTACTGAACAAGCATTTTCCCCAGTGCTAGTTTGCACAACACCTAGAATTAAATAAAAGTTCCAAAACAGTATTGACATTTTGCTTTAGCTCAATAGCTTTGTGAGAGTGATCTTTTTCCTCTGAATTTAAAATACTGTCATTCTTAACCACATTACCTTTCTATGAAAACATGATTAAATACTGTCTAGGTTCTAGACAATTAATTAATTTAATAAAAGGTTATTAAAGTGTTTATAGGTGTACTGTATCTGATTTCTTTGGGTATAAGCTATAGCCAATGGCCAGTTATAACCTCAAAAAAAAAAAAAAAAGAAAACTTATTTGGATGTATAGTGATATTTAAAAATCACCTATATAAAGATATACTTTCATATGTCAAACTTTTTTAAATTTTATTTTAAAGAGATTAAGAGAAAAGAGGACATAACAAAGCAGATCAGAACAGAACAATTTAAGCAACACACTATTTCACCCAAGACAACCCGATATAATAGTAGCTACCATAATGTCTTGTCAAACATTTTTAATGAGGATACAAATAAGAATTTTGCAATTATAAAAAGAACATGTCAAAGATTTTATTTAACTCATCACTTAATGACGGAACAAGTAATATATTACATAATATTCAAAGGAAAATTCAGAGAATCTCAGAAAAGTAAGCAGTAAACTGGTGTAAATTTACACATAATGTAAAACAAGTTTAATCCCTGGGTGGGGTTAAGGGAGGCAGAAGGGGAGAAAATATCTTTTCGGTTATATTCCCACCAATCAAAATTCACTCAATGTCTGTGGACAATGATGATTTGCAGGCTTCGACTTTTCTATAATTTACAGAGTGGTAAAACAACTCAGAGAGGGTGAAAGATACAGAGGCCCGTGGAATCATACAATCCCAGCACTGTGTTCAACAATGTATATAAGTATACCTCTAGTTATTTCCCAAGAATTTAAAATCAAATATTAAATAATGATTTTTAAAAATATACAATTTACCTATAATCATAATGTACCTATAATCATATACCTATAATCATAACATACCTATAATCCTAATGAAGATTCAGAGAATGAACGTGAAAATTAACTCATTGATAACGAAGCAACCAGTAAGATGTTAAAAAGGAGATGTTTTAAAGATGTTCAAAGGAGAATTCATAGTACCACACATATTGGTAGATAGTGCCAAAGTAAATTTATTAACAGATATGAAATGAAGCTATCAGCAAATACATAAATCTCATAGGCACAGTAAATTGCATTTCTATGGGAAAAATTTTGCATCAGTGTTGGTTTTCTGTGATTTACAGAGCTGTGAAATAGCTCAGACAGTAAATGTGTGTTTACCTGAATAGGTGATCACATGGACAATTGGTGATTATTCCCCCTTTAAAAGCCTTTCACAAGTATTCGTGGCTCAACTTTACCCTCTTCATTCTTTGAAAATGTTTCTTTTTATTAGGTGTAGTGAAGTACATTATATATTTGAAGACTAAACTAAACCGTACTTTGTAATCCCATTGGTAAAGATTTTTGACGTGTATATTTGTTAATTGAATTTTAGATGCTACTTAAAATAATTTTCACACTCCAAATTCTTTAGAAGGAGTGATATTTTCAGTATATGTTATTACTATAATAAATGAAATCTTTTCACTAAAGAAAAGTAATTTTTCCCTGTGTTGTATAAACCCACCAATACTCTTTTGACTTATACAGTGTTCTGAAAAGTTATTTTCAAGTTTTCGAGAAGTTCGTAAGTAGAGTTGTCCTTGATGAATGTTCTTGCCTACAGGTGCTGGACTCCATGATGGGCAGTGGCATTCTGTGTCCTTCTCTGTTAACTCGAGCCACGTGAGTGTGGCAGTGGATGGCGAGGCAGCTGGGCAGCCCCTGGGGACCATGCTGATTGTGTCAGGTGGTGCCTATCATTTCGGAGGTGAGTGGGGGCAACTTCATAAACACATGTGATAAGCATTTAAGCTCCAGGAATAATAACTTCTCCGGAACTGTTAGCAATGAGACATTTTAGCCTGTGATATTCTGTTATAGCAGACTGAACTAAGACCACAGATAGGGCTAAAAAAGTAGAAATGGTTGGTTTTTTTTATGGAAGAAAGGTAAAACAAAATTTCATAATAAAATAATGAGAAAATGGCCATAGTTAATACATTACATGTTGTTATATTTAAAATAGTTGCTCAGGGTACAAGGTATAGGCATAAAATTTTCTCCAATTGATACTAGCACAAACCTTCCTTTTTACTGAACTAAGACTAAGAGACACTAATAGTTATAACTGACTTGCATTTTTTTTTGACTGGGAAGAAAATTTGTCAGTTTTCTTAGAAAAAGCACCAAACAACATTAATAATAATAACAAAACCTTGGCATGGAGTTTAGAATGTTTCTGTGAGACACTTTGGGAGTCCAAAGTGGGGTTTATGTACCTGGGAAAAATTAAACATCCATGAGAGGAAGCACATGACAGAGCATGGGTGCTGAAGTGCATTCTTACCCCTCCGCATCGCCACATGTGGGAGAGAACAAATTTTCAGTATACAGGAAGTCCCATGACGCATTTCCCTACAGAGTCACTTTTCACTCTGTGCTTAGCGAAAACCTCAATACTCACGTGTCACTATGTAATTCAACGACGGATAATTTTTGTTGGAAATCATACCCTAAGGACATGTGTGTGTGGCTTAGGGTGGAACCCAGGGCCTCATGCATGGTAGTCAGGTGCTCTAACATTGAGCTTTATCCCCAATTCAGCTTTCTTTTTGAATATATTGGAAAATTGTATATAAACAGAAATAATCTTAAAGATATTCTTAAAATATTCTATACATTGCCTTCTGCCTCATCATCATTTGTGGTGTTTTTCATAGAATATGTGCATTTCCAAGTATAGGCCCTCACGTATCCGAAGGCTTCCCTGCACGGTTGGTTCTCTGGTGGGCAGTGTGTATTTCCATTGTTAAAGCAAACTAAAATACCCTTACAAATCCCTGAGCTAAGACAGTTATGTCTCACAAGTGAACCTCACCTTGCTTGATTTACAAACGGAAGTTGAGCTTGAGCTGTTTTTTATGAATGACTACATTAAAGAAAAATCAAACTTGGCTCCCACCTAACTTACAGAACTGGGGAATTTCCAGCAGAACACACCTCATATGGCAATTATATAACTAAAGGTAAACAATTGCATAGTTTTCTTTGTCTTGTTTTTGGCTTATTTCTTTCTTGCTTTACTCTCTGCCCCATAAACCCCAGCTCCTTCCATTCGCTTGCTGGAGCCCTCATACCGGGTCTCACTGGACAGCCTCATCCATGCATCATGGTTTGCTCGAGGAAACTCTTCCAATCCTACTGTGTCTCCACTTGCTTTTTAATAACTGTACACTTGTATCTCCAGTTAGATGCCGTCCTCCACTAGCAGACCAAAGTAAAACTGAAGAGATTTAAGATTTTAAGGAGTCGATTTATTATGAATGAATGACAATGGGTGGGGGGAGAGAGAGAGAATAAGTATAACTTAGCACACCGACTGTTTCCACTTTAGGAATAATAACTTTTCCAAAACCATTAGTGACCTGGGAAATTTTATGTGCTGAAGCTGATACTGAATTAAGGATTTCTGTATCTGCCCTCAGCATAGGCGATACTAACAAACAGTTCTCTTTACTGAAATTTTTCTAAACCAAGTGCAGAAGAACAGTAATCTGAGCAGGGATGTTCTTTACTAGAACAAGGGCTAAAATCTGTGTGATGGAGAAGCATGATGTGATGGGATCCACACAGCTTTGTTCTCACAACTCCTCGCCTACGTGGAAGAGATGCAGGAAGAAACTGAATAGACAAGAGGAAATGTGGAACATGGTACTTGTGAAGAATGTTTGTTAACATACATTCCCATTTCTTTGAGAAAAATATTTGAGCATGTCTCTAAACACATGTTATGGTAGGCAAGATGACTCTGAAAGATGTCCTAATCCCTGGAGCCTGGAACCTGGAACCTTTGAATAAAGAGCTTTTCAGTATAACGAAGGTCACAGGCATTAGCATGGGCTGAAGACCCTGAATTATTGGGCTGAGTCCATTGTAAATATACAAGCATTTACAAGATTTGACTCTTGCTGGAAGCAGAAAAGACACAAGAGAGGAGTGATGGGATGCAACTGAAAAGATTAGCAGCAGACAAGTGTCTTCACTAGAAGATGGACCAGGCAGTGGGCCCAGCCTAAAGCGCTTGAGCAGGGCTTCATTCCCGCTAGCACGAGGAACTGAATTCTCCAAATCCCTGGACGCTCCTGGAAGCTTATTTCCCCCCAGACCTTCCTTAGAAGCCCAGACTGGCTGTCACCTTGATTTTGCCCTGTCAGAGTCTAACAGAATAATGGATCCTGTCCTCCTTCATTTCTAAGCTGAGATGATGAATGACATTGTTCGATGCCTCTGGGTTGGTAGTAGTTTGTTACAGCAGCAATAATAACATACATACAGTCCAAACTCCATCCACATTTTCATTTACCTACATCCTTATTCAGTTCAAAACACTGGCCTATGGCCAAGCAAAAAAGGTTTTCGCAAACACACCCTAAGAATATGTTGAAAATTATCTACAAATATTCAAGGAAGCTGGTTTCAACAAAAATACAAAATTCCAGAAGCAGTTTTTAGTGTTGTCTTTGTTTAAATGACATGTGGTCTCAGAGCTAATGTAGCACACATGATCATGAACCATATACCAAGCAAAGGGGTCGAAATAAGGCTGGCCAACCATACATACATGCATATGCTGTGGACTCCACAGTTGCTGTTCCCAAAGTATGAGGAGTATCAAGAACCTGTTGGAAATAGGAATATGGCAAAGACCACCTAAATATGCTTGTGCACAGGCATTAGTGTAGTTGCTTCAGAGATGAATTATTTCCCTTAAAACTCATATATACTTCAGACTGTGAGATTATTGGTGAGGCTGTGGAGAAAGTTATACTCTGTTGGTAGGATATAAATTAGTACAGTCTTTCTGAAAAACAATATGGCAGTTCCTCAAAGAAAACAAAACAAAATTAAGAATAGAACTACCAGGCAGCAATCCCCTGCGTGGTACAAAACCCCAAGAAAATAAAATTAGCATATCTGAGAGACACTGGTGCTCCCGTGTTCATTATAGTACTCTTCATGGAAGCCAGACATGAAATCAGCCTAAAAGTCCATCGGCCTATGATCAGGTAGGGAAAACGTGATGGGTGTGTAACAAAGAACTATTCAGCCACAAAAGCATAAATTCCATCCTTTGCCAGGGCGTGGACAAACCTGGAAGACATCAAGCTAAGTGAACACACTAACACAAAGACAGAAGTACCACATGAGTTCACTCACATGTGGAATCTAAAAAAGTGGACCTCATAGAAGTCGAGAGTGGGATAACTGTTACAGAGGCTGGAGAGAGTGGGGTGATGTGGGGAGAGGTTGGTCAAGGGGTGCCAGGTAGATGGGAGGAGCAGTCCTGTGCTCCCTGGCACAGAGGTGAGTATACCTAACAGTAGTATATTGTATTGCTCTAAGTTTTTAGCACAGAGGATTTTAAGTAAACTCCTATAAGAAAATGGTTAAAGTTTAAGGTGAAAGTTATGCTCTGTACTCTGAGTTTATCATTATCCAATGTATCAACACCACACATAGTACTGCATAAGTATATACCAATATTATATGTCAATCAAACATTAATTTTAAATTTTCTAAACTAAAAAAAATGAGGCCATTATGGCTCCCACCAATATTACTGGTATCCCTAAAGAAGGAAAGTAGGGTCACAGAAGCAGAGGGAAGACACCGGGGAGGTGCAGAGAGAGACACCATGTGAAGCCGGGGAAGCAGCTTCTCCTGCAGGTCAGAGCCCTCCTAGACACCCCCTTCCTCCAGCGCACTGTTGTGTAGAGTTGAGAGATCCCCCACCGGGGCCTGAGTCAGACCCAGGCCCTGCCAATCTGCTGCTCCCACCCTACCAACCATCCCCTTATTTTGAAATTTTTATTTTAAACTATATAATTAATAAAAATTCTATTTTAAGATGTACAGTGTGCTTCTTTGATATGGATATACATTGTGTGCTAATACCATAGCCAACTTAATGAAGACATTTATCAGACCACACACTGATGCCTTGGAGATGGTAGAAAGTGGGGATCCTTAAAATCTCTTTTCTCAAATTTCAAGCAAATAATACAGCGTCATTAACTATAGTTACCATGCCGATCCCTTTGTTTTTAATGGGGATGATGAGGAAAAATTGTTGAACTGTGAAGAGAAACACAAGTCTACGAGGTCATGCAGAAGGGCTGATTTGAAGCAGGCCATGGTCTAGTTCACTTCTTTCCATCATGTGACCATATGGAATAATCACAATGCTGACTGATCCCCCTTTTATTTCCTGCTTTTATAGCACTGTACAGGTGCTCCCCAGAGCACTGCCCTCCCGACCAAGGCCTTGTTCTGCGCAGTAGTTTAACCCAATCAATTATCACAACTTCCCTTTTTTGCCAACGTGTAATGTAGTGGAACATTTCAGTAAATCAGCAAATCAGCTTTTTCTGAATAATATACACAGGCTGTGATGAACTCACTGACAGAACACAACTGGGAAGCATTACAGTCCTGGAGAGGGAGCACAGAAAAGGGAGACGGCAGAGGAAGTGATCCCTGGGGTGTCCACATGTGAAGTTCTTAGTCCTACAATTAACAGTAAACATGCAAAAGATGCATCCTGTTCCCTGGACCTGCCAGTCACCCAAAGAAACCTTTCACACAGCCAGTGTTAACATGGAGGAGAAAGTCACTATCCAAAGCTCTAATGCTCTCTCCTCTTGTTCTGAGGAATGTCCATCTGACCAAAGATTTAGGATGTTTGCTATATGGGATAAGTTTTATGGCAATCTAAGGGACAAATTATTTTGCAAACCAGTGTATCATGTGCAAGGGTTATTATTTCAACAGCAAAGATTTAGGAAGCACTGAGACAAAAAAACTATTTGTCAGTTGAGGAATATAATATGACGATATTTAGCCTAACAGTCTGCATGCAAGGTTGGATAATGCCCAGTTATTCCAGAGCACATTTCTGTAAATCCATACATGCTAATGCAATAAATCCAGTTATTTTTATTCATATTTTAATTTTATTCATTTTTACTGTGAAATACATTATATATATTTTTAGAAAATATTACTATTCTCGTTCAAAGAAATGTATGTATTCCATTGTATGAGTATATTTTATTGGCTCTAGAATCCAATTCTACTATTGTTAGGTAATTTTCTTTCTGTATTTCTTTTGACAAAGTTAGTACTAAGAAATTTACTTTTATAATTATGCTTGAATGTGTTGGATGAGTTTGGCATTTTCCTTGTGCATGTCTATTTATTGAAGTTGCCCAATTGTGAAGTACACTTAGGAAAACGGTGGGTCTAAGCATCATTTTTGGCAGCATAAGGCAGTTGTTAAAGGAACTGATGCACAGGAGCCACAAACAGATAATTTCTTCATGTAGGAGCAGCCTGCAGTGCAGTTGGTGCTCTGAATTCCTCTGACTGAGCTGAGCATCACACTGAGAGAAACCTTCAGCACCTGTTCTCTGAAATAGGACTAGGGATTAATAACATAGGATAAAAGAGAATTAATGAAAAACACATAGTGTTGTTCAGTTAGTCATAAGAATTAGTCATTCTTTAATAATTAATGTCTTGGGGGCTGGAGGTTTAGCTCAGTGGCATAAGCGCCTGCCTTGGAAGCAGGCAGTCATGAGTTCGATCCCCAGTACCGATAAAAAGGAAAAAGACAAAAAAAAAATTATTAATGTCTTAAAAGTTAAAAAAAGACCACAAAATTGTATCCCCCAAACTTACAAAAAGTTGTGAAATAAATATAAACAAACTTTCTCTTAAAAAAGCAAATAAAATTTTTCTGAAACTGTATTTCATAATATAAAATTAAATTATTCAATATGTCATCTTTGGCATTATTCCCTTATGAAATGAGATGTTTCTTTCAGATTTATAAATTAGAATTAATATGTATTTAGACTGGACATAGACTATAGCCAATAGCTTTTTATACAGGCCTACCCCAAGAGTTGTTTCATATTTTCAAAAAGTTGCAAAAAAATTTCAACAGTGATCATATTATTATCCACAGAGACTTCAGCATTTGCTATCTGGTTTTCTATGGAAAATATTTGCAGATCTTTGATTTAGATAAATATTCTATGATTTTATTTTATAACAATCTTCAAGCAGAAAGTCATTTTATAATTATTATTTTCTCATTCCTTAATGATAACATTTTTGTTTTTTTCTTATTCATTGGGCAGAATATAAATCAATATTCCATGATTAGGGTAATGTAGTATAGCTCAGTAGAGAGCGCTAGTTTTCTATGCAATTGGATTCATGCACATACAACAGTGCATAATTCATATTAATGCCATGCTCTTGCTCATAACTCTTATAAAAGTATTCCTCTTCTAAAAAGCCCACACAATCAAAAGAAATTGTGCAGAAGCGTTGCAGTTTTTATCTTAGGTGAAGCTAGATGATCAGTGAGACCTAATATTTAATTTATAGTGGAAACAGCCAAGCCTGCTTTAATTTTTTAATCATGGAAAATTCTTTCCTGTTAATTTTTATAATTTATCTTTACAAACCTTAATAGTGTGTTGGTTTGTATTACTTTTTGTGTTCTTCACATTAGAATGTAATCTTTGGCTATATATTGACTAAAACAATCTAAAGAAATTGTCACTAGAAAAGCCAGTCTAAATATTTGCATCCAATCAGAATAAAAGATTATTCTCAAATACAGATATATTATGACACACAAAAAATGCAGAAAAGATATTTAACATACATTAGATGCATATGAAAATCCAGCTACATTTTGAAAGTAATGTTTTTCATGTTTCCTAAATTCAGCCTCTCCTAAATGAAAGACTGGCTATGATAAGTCACTTTATCTTCACCCCTTTTAAATTTTTAAAGATTTTGGTTAGAACATGTTTGCAGGACAAAATCATTGCATTCATCAAGAGGAGCTGGTACCTGTCCACATCCTAATTCTCTCTGCTTTCCCACTGTGCTCCCTCCATCTCTATCCCGGTCTCATTTGCAAAGGATTGATTTCACTGTTTCCTATTGCCTATCTTTTATTTTGCTTTTTAGTTTATTTAGACTGTGCTTCTTTTGTAAGAGAAACCATGGGTTGTTTAAGTGTTTGTGTCTGATTTATTTCACTTAGCAATATGATCTCAAGGTACATGTTTTTTGCAAGTGCATAAATTTATCCTTCTTCATGGCACAATCACACGTGTATGTAAATATGACATTTTCTTTATCCATTCATCTGTTGATGGATGTATTATCCTCTTCTGAGATTTAGTTATTGTGAGTTGTGCTGATATAAATATAGAGATGCTTGCATCACTGTAATAGGATGTCTTTTAACTCTTTCAGGAAGATAACTAGAAGGGGAATAGCTGGGAGAAGTGAAATTCCTTTTTTTAGTGTTTTGAGGAATCTATCTCCATGTTGATGTCTTTAGCGGTTTAATGAGTTTACACTCCTGCCAACAGTGGAGAAGGGTTCCTTTTCCCCTGCAGCCTCACCAGCATTTTTATTGTTTGAGTTCTTGATGACAGCCATTCTTTTCAGAGTAAGATGGAATCTCAGTGTTATTTTAACTTACATTTCTCTCATGGCAAGAGATGTTGAAGATATTTTTCATGTATTTATCCATCACTTGTAATTTTGAGGGATGTCTATTCATTTCAGTTGCCTATTTATTGATTGGGTCTTTTATTTGGGAGGGTCTGTTTTTTTTTTTTTTTTGAGCTTTTAAAATGTATTTTAGATATTAGTCCTCTGAGTAGTAGCTAGTAATTTTTTTTTCCTATTCTGTAGGTTATCTTTTCACTCCGTTGGTTTTTCCTTTGTTGTATGAGGTTTTTAATTTGATATAACCCCATTTATCAGTTCTTGATATTATCCCTTGTGCAACTGAGGTTTTGTTCAGAAAGTCCTTGCTTATGTCTGTCTTTAAGAGCTTCACCTATTTTATTCTCCAGAAGATTGTTTCTGTTTTAATATTTAGGTCTTTGATCCATTTTTTAAAATTTTAGTACATGTGAGAGACATGGGTCTAGACTCAATCTTCTGCTTATGGAGAACCAGTTTTCCCAGTACTGCTGGTTTAGGAAGCCGTCTGCCGTCTTGCCTGTAGTGTATGTTTCTGACCCTTTTATCAAATAGCAGATGGCTGAATGTGCCTAGGGTTGTTTCTGAATCCTCTGTTCTGTCCCACTGATTCAAATGTACCATGCTGGGGTTTTTTTTTGTTTGTTTTTTTATGGGTACTGGGGATCGAACTCACAACCGCCTGCTTGCAAGGCAGGTGCTTATGCCGCTGAGCTAAATCCCCAGCCCCACCATGCTGTTTTATATCACGTAGCTTTGAAAGCTGATCTACCTGCATTTTAATTTCCCTCATATATAATGGTAGCACTTTTTAAGATACTATTGTAAGTGGTCCAACTTTTCTCCACTTGGATGTGCCACAGTTCCTTTCACAGGAATCTCAGATCTTAATCTCTCCATTTAAAACATCTCTGAGTTCCAAGCATTGTCTAACATGTATCCTTATTACCGTCTAGCGAGTGACATAGTTGGATCACATCATGTCAACCCTTATTCCCGGCCTGGAGATGCATCTCAGGGGCACAGCGCCTGCCTAGCAAGCTCAAGGCCCTGCATTCAATTCCCAGTACAAAAAAAAAAAAAAAAATTCAAGAAACCGTAAATAAGGAGAAGCAACATCTTAGTTTAATAAATATTGCATTGCACATTCTGTTTTTTTCCACGTGTCTCCACATTCAGGCTGTCCCAACAGCAGCGCAGGCCGGGGCTGTGAAAGTCTCCTGGGAGCCTTGCAGGGCTGCCTGAGGCTCATCTCCATCAGCCGCAGAGCGGTAGATCTCATCTCGGTGCAGCAGGGGGCGCTGGGAAGTTTCAGCGACCTCCAGATCGACTCCTGTGGCATCGTGGACAGGTAAGAGCCATCTGGGTTCGATTTAGCATGTCTGCCTTCAAAACTAAAAAGTATACAGAGAAAAAAAATTGCATTGTCCAATAAAAAATAAATTTAAAAATCTAGACAGCTAGCTCAGTACAAAGGTCCTGGCTCAACCCCGGTAGCCCCCACATTACAGTCTCTCTTTCACTCTGTTATCTTTCTTCAGGGAATGAAATAGTCATATTTACAGTGAGTTTTTGAAAACTACATCTTTAGTTGTATAAAGAACATTTTTTGAACTATATTTTATGGCAGTATTTTTTAAGAATTTTAACTTAAAATGGTCCCAGTTTCGAGGTTCACTGTTACTGAGCCAGGCTTTGCCAGCATGCTTCTACAGTTGGGTGACCTTTGGGGTACAGGGGAGTTGCATAAATTCCTCTTCTTTTAATCTGCAGCAGCAGCAGCAGCAGCCCCAAATACCATCTCTTCTGCAGGGCAAGTAAGAAGTAATCTCTTTCCAGAAAAGCATAAACCACAGAGACTGATGAGGATATGGGCACTATGACAGAAGAAAAACATTTTAATGTTTTAAAATTAAATATTATAAACACAGTTTATGATATCAGTTGTGCTTTATCTCTCTAATGATTCTGGCTGAAAATAATCACTTGATTATTCCTGGGAGAACAGTATTTCCTTAGTGCTTTTCTCCTGAGATCTTCTGTCAGCAGATAAATAATGCATATATATATCTGTGCTTATAAGCCTATACAATTTTGGATCCGTTAAAAAGAATATAAAACTAAAATTTTATTAAGTGAAGTAAGCCAGATTCATAAAGATGCATTTCATCTTTTCTCTAGTATATGGAATATTATAAAAGACATTATTATGAAAGTAGGAGAGAAACTATTATTAAACAAGAGGAAGAGAATAAGGCTAGAGAGGCGGTGTAAGGGAGGGCTGGAGGATTAATATGATCAAAATACATGCATTTATGAAAATATCATTGAAACTCAGTGTTTTGTAAAATTCATAGTCACTAATAAAGGGTTTCAAAAAATTTGCGTCAAGGTTAAATGTTTGCATCTACATCTGGAGGGTATTTTAGAGCTGATTATTTGCTATGAGACAGTGTCTTTATGAGGTGTGATCAAATGGGAAGGGAGTCCTGTAAGCCACCCTACCCTCCGGATCTGGCCTCTGGCCGATGCTACTTACTGCTTGTTCTTCCCCAAAGTCAGGTCGACTGTGAAATGTAAACATTTCCAGTGGATTCAGGATCCCAGGCAGCCTTGACAGCACAACTAAAGATACTCGCAAAAGACAGCTTCCAGGCACTGCTTCAGAAATAGAACAATAGGATAAGCGCATTCAAATTTACTACAATAAAGTTTTTAAAATTTAAACATTCACCATAATTTTCAATCACACCTCATATGTTACTATATATATCTATGAAAAAAGACGGTCTTGTCTGTCTCTCCTATCTCCTTCTCTGCTTCCCTTTCTTTCTTTGAAAAATCTCCACAATATAGTAATTGAGCATAGAAACTTTTATGATTTTATATATGCAACTGATTTGCTAGCCACGTGTTAAGTTCATGCTATGCCATGAGGGCCCGAAAGAAAGAAACTAAGTGTGCTAAAAAACTCACCTGCCCTGGGTACATACTAATCAGCTACATGCTAATAAAAGCATTTTTTTAAAGGTACCATTATTATCAAATTTTGATGGTAGGCAGTATTTTGATAATGTGGAATTTCCCTGTGCATACTGTAATTTCACTTGAGTCTGTTTTTAATCAAAGAGACACTTGCTTTACAATAGCTGACGTTGAGAAACAGCAGTTGTGTCTGTTTTTACATAGGTGTTTGCCCAGCTACTGTGAGCATGGGAGCGACTGTTCCCAATCATGGGACACCTTCTCCTGTGACTGCCAGGGCACAGGGTATACCGGAGCCACCTGCCATTCCTGTAAGCCTCACGCCTGTCTGCTCCTTTGTGCGTCTTTATGATTTCCTTGTAATTTCATTTTCACGAGTTGCTTACATGCATCTGCATATTTGCAATTATGCAGAGCCATGAGAGTGTTTTAGCACCTAATCAACTCTAGCTTATTTTTAAGCCAATTTAGTTCTTTTTATTGTTGCCTTAAATACTTTTTTAATCTGCTGTGCTGGTCACTGAGGCCAGGGCCTTGTACACACTAAGGAAGTGTTCTACCACTGAACTTTGCCTCCGCCCAGCTTCACTTAGTGCCAGGCTGCTGAGGCCGTCATCCAAGGAGACTTGCAGTATTAAGTAGTGTAGGGAACAGAAGGTGGTGAGCAGTGGCAAAACACCCAGGGTACAATAAGATATACTGAAAGGTAAAAGAAAAAATCAGATCAACAGCGCATATATCTTCTAACCTTACACTGGTTTTTTTTAAAAGATAGGGTCTTGCTATATAGTTCAGGCTGGCCTTGGACTTGCTTCTGTATCCCAGGCTGGCCTTGAACTCACAGTGATCCTCCTGTGTCAGCCTCATGAGTGCTGGAATTACAGGCGGGCATCACCATGCCTGGCTAACCTTATGCTGTAATTTACTCAATAACTCCTTTATATAGGCTGCCGTCTTGCATCCCGTCTCTGATATATTGCATTTAATACACGAGTCTTGTTAATGCATTAGTGTGGTTATTCATTGTAATAAAAGTCTAATGCCAAGAAGTTCTGAGGGGAAAATATCAGATTGAATAAAGCAGTATTTAAATTTCAATCTGATTTAATGATTTAATTGATAATTGTGGTTTTCAAATATGTGCACCAAATAAAGGTGGAATTTCACCAAGCCATCACCACTAATCATAAGACCAACCGCTACACTTCATTTTGATTGGGCTATTTTTGTTTTAGATACTCCTATAATTATTACGCATACATTGTCATTCAAAAAGTCAAACAATTCACGTGCTACAAAAGGTCTCCTACTTATCCTCTCCCAACCCAACCATGTACCTCAAATTAACAGTGATTACTAATTTGAATGAATCCTACCAGACTTCTAGAAGTATGTGTGCTTACTAAAATAAGTACATATGAATGGAAAAAGGTAAAGAACAAAAAAGCAATCTATTCCATTTAGGTTTCTACCTGTTAAAGAAACATTTGGGCAGTTTACTATTCAAATTCTTATTTGACAATTGGCTAAATACACCTTGAGTTTGCTTAGATCTAAAATTTCTTTTTCAACAAAACTGTTCTCTAAATCTCCTATTTTGTGAAATGAAGGAAAAATAACTCCCACATCTTTCCTTGGGTTTTGCCTATTGATTGACAATATTTCAGCCCGATCAAGAACAAAGAAAATCACATGTATTGTAGGCTAATGCAGATTGCAATCTAGGGAAACACAAATTCAAGCAATCTTGAAAACATGCTGTGACATTTTGCTAAATGGTAGCTATATTTATATCTTTAAACCACAGTAGCTTGGAAAGTCCTCACTCCTTAGCAGGAGTTATGACTGATACTGGCAAAAGTTAAGGCATCTTCTGAGCAAACGACTAAATACAGTAGCAGCCACTGAGTGGCCCGGCGCAGGAGTCCCTTGTGGGGAAGGCCCCTAGAGGTCGCAGTGTTTCAGACATCAACAGCTCTGCATGGAGTTTGTCTGCAGCTCTGCCTGAGGTCTGAGCACAGTGGCCTCCTGACTTCATTTTAAGTGTCCTAAATCAGTGCTAGTGCTCTCTGAGCTTTTTTCTTGACATGACGTAAGCATTTGAAATAAATATTTATGAAAGTCAATGGAAACAATTCAGTCAATATAAGAATATCTGTCTTGTAATGGCATAAATATGTGCCCTGCACTTTTCCATATGATGATTTGTTGGTGCTTAGATTTCATCTGCTTATTCTTTGTCCCCCATCCCCAGCCTTGCCTGTGTAGATGCCAAAATGGACGGATGCAGGCACGCCTGGTCTGTCGGACTCCAGCGAGAGGGTCCCCTGTGGTTGGCATCAGTCCCATACCTTACCCTAGGGGCCCTTAGCGTCCTTTAGCTTCCTAAAGTAGGTTCTTCCTGAAGGTCCCCATGTTGTCCTGCTGGTCTTTCTTTTAAATTTATGCTGCAGATTAATGATGTGTGTCAGTCGCAGGTGGCATTTCATACCTTGGTAAACATTTTCTTGCACAAATAAAAGTAATCAATTATATGGGAATAAACTAGCATTATATAGGGACCTCTTTCATGAAAATATTTTCTCTATTGTTTTGAAATTGATTTGTCATTTATGAATGTGGATCTTTGTTTTTTTAATCAACTATTTTTAATGAAGAGAAATTGCTGGTTTAAAAGTTCATCTCATTAGATTGCCTATTTGTAATTATTTTAAAGGAAGTAATGGGTATAACTTGTATTATTTTAAAATAATTTATGGTACACTTGTTAGATAATATCAAATTATTTAAATAGGTTAACACTAGCGTACTGTAGATATTAAGTTATTGCCAGCAGAATGAAGGTTTCACCTTTAATTACAGCACTTAATTTTAACATGTAGTTGTCATAGAATCATGTATCAACAGCATGTAATATTCAAATCCTCTTCAAATCTTTTACACTGGGCTTCAGAATTGTTAACGTCTTTTCCTAAAAGCAAAAAAGAACATTTACACACAGGAAAATACATTCCCTAGCCGTTGCCCAAAGACTATTGAAGTTGCTGATATGACCTTCCCACTGTAACCTCATCTTCATTTTTCAATCACCAGTACACTATTTTCTCCTTTCTCAAAGTAGCGATGCCATATATACCAAACGTTTATTGAGCACTCTGGTAACACTGAACATTTAAACTCATTTCAAATCGGTAATTTCTGTCATCTTTTAAATACAAATGAAAATACCTTTCTATCAGAACAGATGTCATGTTATACACATGAATAAAAATGATGTCCTAGGTATCATGTGCCTATAATTAAAAAATGGAAACCTTTTAGACATTAGTGAGAAATACAGACGGATTCCTTCTGTTTCTGATGGATGGTGTTCTTCTGCAGCGGTCTATGAGCAGTCCTGTGAAGCCCACAAGTACAGCGGGAGCCCTTCTGGGCCTTACTATATTGATGCAGACGGAAGTGGACCCCTGGGGCCATGTCTTGTGTACTGCAATATGACAGGTACGTTAACATCCATTAGACTTACGTATCAGCTCTTTATCTATATGATCATAGTAGACTTAGAGGGTACGTACTTATCTAGTGGGTATCCTGCACTGTGATAGCTCTGTAACACTAAATAGAAATATTACGTGTGTTTTTGTTAATCTTTTTGTTAATAAAATATTCTTGTATTTCTTGCTTACCTAGGCTGGATAATAGGCAAGATTTAGTTTTCTGCCAGATCAGCCCTGTGGCTTCTATAGTTCTCATATTTACATCGGTTCACATGCATTGTGATAAATTTTTAATTCTCTAAAAGTACTGAGAAATAACATGTATGCTAGTATTTTGTGTAACTTAGTGATTTAAATGGCATATAAGTTTTCATAATCAAAGAAATTTGATTATTTTGATTATTGATATTATAAACCATTCTGGTTTAGATGTTATTATAGGTGAAAACAATTTGATTACAGCAGATTGCATGAAAATTCCTCTTAGGTAATTAAATTTTTCCAGAAATGTGCTGTCATCTGTGTTTTCCAACTCTCTGGAAAGTGGAAATCGAGAATAAATAGTTCTCATTTAGCATGCCAAGGAAAGATTTGAAAGTGTCCTAAGTGTCAGTGCCCAAGTGGTTAATAACAGAAACAGAAAATAAACAAATGAAACTACAATTCAAAAATGCTTTAACACAGATTGCCAAAGAGTCTTAAATGGAAAATTCAGAAAATTAAGAACCACTACACAGCAATGTGCCCGAGATAGTGAAACGCTAAAGTGTGCCAAAACACAATGATTATTCCCAAACCCCCTGATCAGAGTGAATTATGGGTGGGCTGACATGGGCATCAGCCCATAGAGGTTCACATCCTTCATCTTCTTCAAATGGACTTTTCTCCATAGAGGAATGCTGGCAAAAAATCAAATAACTCAGCTACAGTCACAACCAAGAAGGTTCTTGGTCATCATCATTATAAAACAAAGAAACCAAGGTTTAGTGAAATTGATCAAAGAAGTATCCAATGACAAAAGTCTAGTTAATGGCAGAGGAATCACTAAACTCTCATCTCTTTCTCCCTAGAAAAAGTTAGCTTCTCTTCAGAGACTGAATGGCTTACAACTAATAAAATGTTGCCTAGTTTTTCAAATCAAACAATAGCCATTAAAAAAATGGAATAGTCAAAATACTGTTCCAGGAGCCTGAAGGCACATCTCTGGTAACAAAATCCACCAGCTTCCACCTGGCATGCTAAGGAGCTTGGAAGTCAACTTTTCATCTTGCCAACTAAAAAAATCAAACAAAATGAAAAGTCAGCAACTCTTCCTAGGTCCAGCAAAGAGGTACAGATGCAGTAAGCCACTGTCCCCAAGATTAGAAAGGCAAATATGGAGATTCTCCACTTAACAGAGTAGATGTGCCTAGGCAGAAAGCTCCGTGGGACCCAGCGGTGTGGTAGGAAAGCTCAGCTGTACCTCACAAATAGCTGGAGGCTGGGGCGGGACAAGTCTGAGGGTTTAAAACAGCAGAACCCAGTTACAGCAGAGCCCTTCTTTTGTGAGCCTTACCTGTCAGGAACTTGACTAGGTCCTCAGAGTGGATATGAGGGGATGATGGGGAGGAACCGCTTTGAAAAACACACAGCATTGTTCTTAACAAGGTGTCCCCTCAAAAGAGAGTATTTTACCAGAGCCTAAATTACTGGAATTATCAGAAGGAGAAGAAACAGAAAGGAAGATAAGCAGCCAGGAGTGGATGATTCCACGAATTAAGGTCATCCACTGAGGCTCAGATGTGCAAAGCTCCAAGGATGCTAAGACAGGATAAATGCTCTCCCTAAATACACCTTCCACCCAGACATGTACATTTAAACCATAGAAAACCAGGTAAAGAAAAAAATCTTGAAAGAAGTCAAAGGGAGAAAAAACATCTCATCTCAAAGAAGCAAAGTAAGTCTTACATTTGACTCATCAAAAACCATGCAAGGAAGAAGAGAGTGGAATGGGAGATTTAAAGGATGGAGACTAAAACGTGCAACAGAAAAGCCCCACCAATTTAGAATTCTGTGCCTTGTGAAGTTGTCATTGAAAACAGAAGAAGAAATACAGACTCTCTCAGACCAACCAAAGAGTTGGTTGCCCCAAAAGTTCTTAATGTAAATGTTTCTAACAGCAGAGAATTCATAATTGTTGAATCTTTATTCTCTTTTTTCTTCTTGGATACATGGGAATAGGTGTATTAGATGTGGCAGATTTCATATAATCTCTGAGGGATTTCATGAGTAATTTCTTAGTTAAGTACTGCTGGTTGCAACCAAATCATGAAGCTAAACCAGCTTGCTTTGCTGAGTTGGTGACTTGAGCCCCAGGAAGCTGTGTATGGGTCACCTACTGCTCAGCTTCCTTCTGGGCCTAGGAGGAGATGGACAGGGCTGGACTCACCTGCCGTGATCCTTGGCTCTGGCTGTGACTTGCTCCCCAGTCAACGCCCTTTCAGTGACCCTCACTCTAGTGCCACCTCAAGGTTCACACTCCAAGAGTCTCTACTGAAAACTTTAGATCTGTTTCTTTAAGAATAGAACATCTGAGTTACATTAGATGCTATTTAAACTGCTGCTCAGTTCTAGTATTCTAATTTGTAATCTTAAAAGGAATCATGAATTGATTGAAACAACAGTCATTTCTGCTCTTCCTTGGGTCACTTAGGGCGGATGCTAACACAGGCATTAGTGACTGAAATGGCATTTTATATAAAGAAATGCACATCCTATAATGTCCCCAGATTATTTTACTCTTTAGAAATGCAGTTTTATAGATATTTTCTCAACCCTTCCTTTTTCACTACTGAGGATACCTTCTCTTATTACATTTTAACTGTGCACGACTGCAAATCTATTCAATTGACCACAGCCAATAGATGAACTGCTCAAGACTTTCAAATTGTAACACGTGACCAAAAATGGCATGTGATCCATTATCTCCAATGTTCAAGTTAGAGTTCTGTCAGATTTCTCTATATGTGATTTAGTATAGCAGGTGGTACCCCAAAAGTAGGGCCAGGTTTTCAAAATTCTGTAATTAAAGGATGTGCAGATGGAACCTTGTTATGGGAAGATCCCCTGGGCTGAAATTGCTAGGGGAGCCTTGGGAACCTCGTTTCTAAGTGCCAGGATCCCAGTGGTCACTTAATTTTAAATCGCTTTAGTTATCTAAATCCACAGGCTCTCTCAGGCTGGCCACCCGTTTATGGGGATTGTGCCTTTGCTCTTTTGGACAGTGGGCCTAGATTTGTGGCAGTTGCACTACTGGCCTCCTTGTCCTTTTTTGCTGGGCGGCTGCAGGCCTTGGCAGGGGAGTCGGGGTTGTACACATAAGAGGTCAGAGATGCATTCCCAGGGGGAACTGGCGGAGGTCAGTTTCAAGCCCTGGTACTCCAGCTCTCAGCCTGCTCTTGACTGGATAACCAAGCAATGAAGCGTGCCTTCCTGATGGCTGGTGAAACATGCGTGTATTGTTTTGTTTTAATTCAGGAAAATTTTGCTAATAACATTATGACTTGCTTTTTGTTCACAGGTTGGGTATAATGGCCAGTTAGGCTGAGCTGGGTCTAATAGTTCTTACCAGAGACCAGCTGGAACCTGGAATGTTTCCTTAGTCCTTGCTGTCTGCCTTTAACTGCGCCTGTCAGTTTTGGCTTCCTCTTTAGATCTCAGCAACCCCACTATTCGCACTTGGGCCTCAGATGAAATCATCACTGGAATTAGTAGTACAAGAGCATCTCTGCTGGCTTCCCCCTTCTCCCAAGTTGCACAGTGTAGTATCTTCATCTTCAGAAATGCACATTATGTTAATTACGTTTAAGCTTGCAACATAACAAGCTGACTTTTCTCCCTCCTTCCAGGAGCTCTGTTTCCTGAAGAACCCCCTAGTGCTCCCCAACATTGCTGTCTTTTTATCAATAATAGTTAAACACAGATATGTCTTTTTTTTAAATTGAGCAATCAAAAACATGCTAGCAGCATAATAAATAAAGCCCCTCTTGAGTTTCACTCTTAAATTTTCAATTCCTAATCTTAATCTTAATTAAATGTTAATCTTTTATCTTAATCTTCTATTAAAATGAGCTGACATTGTTGGGGCTGTCGTGGGTTGTGCAGAATCAGGGGTACTGCCAATCTCACTCCGCATTCCTCCTGACAGTTTGCCAGACCATTCTCTTCCCATGCCAAAAGTTTACTGCCCCTTCATCTTCCTGGATGCCTCTCCTGCCTTTCACCTTTAAATCTTCCCCGTTGTGATGCACCTAGGCAGTCCCACCTAGGCAGGTCCATGTCAGGGAGTCTGTACCTTCTTTGGATATCTGTCAGTCAGTTCCATCTACTAACAAGAACACAAGGCATGTTCTACTTCATTTCTAAGTTGACTTCCAGATTCCAAATCTGTTGCTTAGCAGCTGTGAAAACTTGGGTTATTATATTATTTTGGATAATATAATATATTTTGGGTAATATATTATATTATATTGGGTTTCTAGTCTCTGTTTCTTCTTCAGGAAAAATGGGGTTTCCCACATGAATGAAATAACCTACATATGTAAAGTCAGCAAGTGGGAAATCCTCATTCCCTCCTCTCCAGGTATTTATATCCATAGTTGGCATTAGGAAGCTCAGTGAGTTGTTAGTTCATCACTGTTGAATTGTACTCACTGAGAAAGATAATTATAGCAGAGTAGATGAGGATTGTAGAAGCAAATACACTGGTTAGTTTGCCAGGTAACGGAAGCTAAAAGGAAGCAAGAGACATGGGAATGACTCTCTACAGAGCCAGGAAACCCATCATCTAGTGAGTGAGATTGGCTGGATCCCCCCCCCCCACACACACACACACAGATCAGCAGGGGACCCTCCTGCAGAGCTCATATTGAGTTAATGAGGTTGCTGACTTCTGACCATCTGGCTCTACTTCTGGGTATAAGGATTTTTCTAAGACAGCAAAAACAATCCATTTTTAATTTGCAG